TCATCAAGTTGTGTGTTTATAACATTATCCTCCCCAATGGCTGCTGCATAATCTCTGAGTCTGCATATTGCAAATGGGACAGGTTCGAAGCTATGATCACCATATTCAACAGGAGTAGAATGGTCTCCGGTGACACAAAGAAAGTACTGGTAGTGTCCGGCCTTTTCAGCTTCCCAAAGAAGCCTTGCAAGCTGACCAATAGCTCGATCAACAGCTTCTAGACCCCGTACCTTTAACTTGACAGCCTTATCATGACCAGCATCATCAATGGCCTGTAGTGACATTATAAGAGATATCAGAATCACATAGTCAGTATGAGTAAAAATAACCTGAATATGCATTTTACCTTTATGTGCAGGAACCCAAAGTCATATCCATTTTCTCTTCCAGCTTTATATTCATCCCCTCCAGGCACAAAAACACGAGGTGGTGTATCCATAGGGGCAGAGAGTGCCTTGGCTATAGCTTTGGCTTTAGAAGTTAAGAGAGTACGATAATCTCCAGTTGCTCCAGGTGCTTCAAGGATATCAATCCCCAGTGAAAGCCCCAGGCCAGCTATGATCTTAGTAGGAGCAACCATGCATGGTGCAAGTCCATGCTTGGTTTCAAAGGCAGGCACCTAACAAAGCCACATGAAACTTCATTAAAGGGAAGCTTTAGAAGTATCAAGTTCCACTAGGGTAAAAGCATGTCAGATCTTAGCCAGGGCAGAAGCAGGTCAAATCCAGAGAATGCATTTGTGAAAGCTCACGAAAGTCGAAACCAATCTTTCATATTGCTACTGCAGTACCATATAGGCCTAGTACTAAATCTTTCAAACTAACCTCAATTCGGATACCACAGCCTCGCAATAGCACAACATTTGCGATGTTCTTCCCCTCAGCTGCACGCTTTGCGTTGATAGGGTGAGAAATCAGTATGCGCGTAATCTCTTTAGAAAGCTCATTGACCACAGCTGCAGTGTTTTTAGCTTCTTCTGAGTCATCCAACGGTTCGGCCTTCAGATGCAAGCGGTTGTCCTTCAAGGGATCGGTTCCAGAAATGTTCCCACTCAGCTTTGGCCCTTTGACAACCACACCACATCTGTGCTCAGTAGCATACCTGCAGAGAAGGTGTGTGAATTACAGCAGTAACTAGACATCACACATGATTAAAAGGGTGGTGAGGTTTAAGCGCTGCACCTTACTCTGGCTTCATACTCAGGAAACGACGGAAGCTTCATCCCATCCAACGCAGCACAGAGGATAGGGCCTTCCTCTTCAAAATGGCGATCTGCCCTCCTGCTGACGATAACTCCGGTGCTCTCATCCAATGTAGCAAAGTTTGACTGCATGCAAATTGTGCAGAGAATTCAGTGGGAAAAACACATTCATCAGTTTATACAAATGCTATTAGAAAACATTAAATACCATCAAGGAAAAAGAAGAAAAAAAAATATAGGGTGAAACATGCTTCTTTCCACACTATTGCCACTTAAATTCAATGGCCCAAGCAATTGCTAGGTAGAGCTAGAGCCCAAGATCCAACAAGAAAAGGTGGTCAAATTTAGTTACTGCATGCGCATTCTTGAATGATCCGAACCATTGCTGGCCTAAGATTCTAACGAGATTGAGCTCAGTCGATGGTCTGAACAATTACTGCTGGCTATACAAGTTGACAGCAGAAGGAATCAGGTTTAGCAACAGAACATGCAGAGCAAAAATACACGATGATATGAACTACCACTAACTTATACGATGAATCCAAACAAACCAAGGCTACTCGAGCTGCAATTTTGTGCTCCAAGAACGGGTTGCCGACCTTGAAGGCGATGTCGCCGGGCGCCATGGCGAGCCCCGCGCCCATGGACTCGAACGCGCCGCGGCCGCGGTAGTACACCCGTGGGTCGTACCCGAGGAGGGATAGGTGCGCCGTGTCGCTGCCGCAGGCGAGCCCCGGTTCCACGGGGTCCATGAGCCCCGTCACCCCGGCCGCCGCCACAGCGTCCAGCCGGGGCGCGCACGCCGCCTCCAGCGGCGTGCGCCCGCCCAGCGACGGAACGCTCACGTCCCCGATCCCGTCCACCAGCACGAACGCCACGCGGCTCCGCCTCGGCCCTCTCCCCTCCGCACCCGCCATCGCCGTCTCCGCAGCCGCCGCAAAGGCCCCCTCAGTTTCTGCTTTCTGCTGCTGCTTGCGAGATGCCTCTGCGGCTCTGCCGCGTGCGCGTGCTGGTTCAGCGGCGGGTCGGGCCGGCTCGAGTCTCGGACCGGCCCGGTTCGGTCGCTACAAGAACTGGACGAGCCCGAGGCCCGGCCCCCAAATCTGCAACGCTTGGCGCTCGCTCGGCTCCGCCCTCCGCCTCCCCTGCCCCTTTCCCGATCGCCGCGCCCCCCTCGCCGCCGGTGATCGCCGGGGAGCCGCCGAGGCCGGACGCCAGCGGTTCCCGCTCCCTCCTCCGTGTCTCCCTTCTTCCCGCCCGTCTCGTGTCCTCCTGCTGGGGGGTGCGGGTTCCTCTCGCCGCCGAATTTGGCATGTGACGCGGGGGCCAGTGCGACGAGGCGCAGCCGGCGGGGCCAGATGCGGCGGCGTGGGGTTGATTCGTTAACTGGATTTCGAGATTGATTTGTCGGGATTTTTTTTTCGAGGAAGCGCGTGCTGCAGGTGAGACACTTGTAAACATAATTTTCCGTGTTTTTTTCCCACTCGATTAATTCGTCAGTGCTTGTCATTATTCGATCTAATTTTTTTGGGCCGGTGGGAATCTGCTGTCGAGGTGCTGATTTGCGGAATCTTTGTAATGACCCTAACACTTTTGTCCATTTTTTTGGTTAGGAATGTGATCTCTATTCTGAAATGTTTTTCATGTTATTGTGTACAAGCGCATGTTTGCCCAATGTGGTAGCATTTGTTTGTGACGGTGGATTACTAGTTAGTAATGTGTGCAGCATTGTTTCCTTTTAAGTTTTAGAATATAATTTGTTTTGAATTCGGGACCCTCCTTAGTGTATGGGTAATATCACAACTTGCGGTACCAATGCTATGGCAGATTTGTGCTGTTTGATATGTGGTAATACAGATGCTGGAGTTTATAATGTGGTGGTTGAACAGCCATAGTTTCAGCAGTTGTTTAGGTACTTTGGTGGTTTCACTTTCAAGGCTTCAAGAGATTGAATTGAAGGGCCTCATAGTATGCATTCAAAATAAGCATTTATAATCACTGGGTCACAAGTGGGCCCAGAGTACAGGACTTCTTTTCTGGTTCGGGTCACATATTTCCTTATGATGTTGAGGAACTGCTGTATTCTGGATTGTCAAGCTGTAGCATATGTGTGCAGCTATGCTTGACTGCCTGTTATTTGAGTTTTGGGGTTAGGTTACATTCAAATTTGCATGGAATATTTTCATTTTGCAATTTGTGTGCACATGATTATCAATTTGTGTTGCAGCTGCGTGGAGTTTATGTTGATGGTTGCTCGTGAATTGTGACAAAATGCTAGAAATAATATTGCCACATGGTCTCCTCAAAACCTCACAGTAGGGTATCATTGGGATCAATCATTAAAACCTTAATGGGCAGAGATAATTATGTTCGTGCAGGCTGTTCTTTAGTGTTTCCCCTCCCCCTATATGGTATTATTAGGCCATATGATTTTTTCTATCATAATGTATGTTTGTTTCCACAGAACATAAGGTCCTATTTGTTTTGGTTTTAGATGCATCTGCTTTCAATCGTCAAAATGAGAGGACACTCTCAAAATAGAAAAAAAAGAGATGCAATTTACTTTGGCTGTAATAATAAAGCCATATGGATAGAGATTTTTGGTTGACATTTTAGCAATTGCATGTTCGCAACGAACTTTGGTGGCTATGTCATTTTCATTTTGACAATAATGTGCTCCCCTATGTCACTTAGATCCTACTACTATAGATGTTTTGATTATATGTCAGTTCTGCCATGTAACGCATGTGACTGCATTGTAGGTTGCATTTCCAAAATGGTTTGCATGGTGGGGCATTTTAAAATGTCTTCTGTGCTGAAGCTTGTAATGATGGAAAATCACACAGCACCAGGTAAAGTATAGTTAATATTTTAGCCTATTTTGACTTTCCATTTAGCTTGTGAATTTCATGGACAATACTTTAATAGAGGCTTTGAGACCTGTGTCCATAGTAAAATAAAGAAAAAATTATATTGCACAGTTAGCATGGAAATTTTATTTAGCATTTATGAAGTGTACAATTCCAATGTACTTGCATGATTTGATTGGATTTGTGCGTCCATTAATAAAATTGATAAATTCAGATAGAATGGTGCACCATATCTTTTATTTTACTAGAATGTCGTGCAACTTCTAGATATATCGTTTTTTCTTATTTGTAACTTGGATATGTAGCAAAAAAAATCAGTATTACTAGATCTTTGCAAAGAGAAGGGGAGAATGATAAACTCTAGAAAAAATAATCAATATAAGGAACCTTTGCAAATGAAATATTATTTATATATACGAAACCTTCTATTGATTGAAAAGACAGTTTAATCTGTTACTGGATTTCATTATATTTCCGCCTCAGTGCAGGGATGCACTTTTTCAGTGTCATGTTTATTTTATGTTCTGGAGTAGAAATGTCATCTGTAGGCCCATAAATATTTTTACTGCATTCAGGTTTCTGGATTTGTTTTTACAGAATGTTGATTGACAATGTGGCCTGTATAGTGCAAAACAATGTTCTTATTAATCAACTTTAAAAACATATATAATTATTAATCATATGCATGCAAAGCAAAAAAATAAATAAATGTTTGTGCTGTTTTTTGGTCACATGTGCATGGCTAGCTTATGGTTGACCATTGATCATTTGATTGTTATCCATATTTTATTCCTTGAGTTTCTTTTTGTCTCTCTCGAGTGAACAAAACATAGGGACTGGTACCGAGATGATTCAATCCATGCATGTTGGCCGTTTGAGCGTGAAAAGAATTTGCTCTGTCACTTTTGGCAGATGACGTGATCCGTGAGATGACTGCTGCACAGGTCCTACAAAAGCAACTGTTTGATGCACACGAACCAAATTTACTAGATGAAAATGGTAAGCTCCACTTGCTGAACCATATATTTCAGTTACTTTCTCTAATATCTACTCTCTAGTACTACCGGTTGAATGTACCTGGTGGAACAGGTAGACATTTTAGTGCTTCCAGCTTCTGCCTCATATCATATGTGTTTATTTGTTAGCTTGAGATTTCACTGCCTCATGTGTTTATTTTACCTTCAATGTATACTATTGTGTTTTACTCTGTATTTGTGACACCTGTTTCTGTTATACCAGATAGCTGTAACCTGTAGCTTAAACTTACATGTTGATGTCAACCTCAGTTTAGCTTTTTAACTTTTCCAATAACTTTGTGCAGATATGCATATATTTGGATCAAAACCGATGGCCGACCCATTGGACTTGGTAACTTTGATGAATCTACCTGTATGATTTCCCTTTTTGCCTATGGCAGATCCACTGGATCAAAATCTTATCTTTTATTGAAGGTCTGCTGTAGTACTTGCAAGAAGCCAGTCAAAGCCAGCCAATATGCAGTTCATACAGGTGCTGTTAACATTTTTGCTATTACATTATTTAGGTGTAAGTACTTCTGTTCAATCTGCTCAGTTTTAGTTGTTAAAACACAGGTTTAGTTTTGTTATGTTTGTATAATTCATCACTAATCTTGCCGGGAACTAGGCTATGAACATTTAATCCACAAATTCAAATTCATAATGTATCATGAATTCATACTTTCCAGCACATAAACTTATATTTTGCAATTTGTATGTGAGAAAAGCCCCAATCTGTTGCTATTTACATCAGTTAGCTTAATCAATGACTAGTGTAATTTGCTTACTGTTCCATACACTTGCTTAGAAAAGCTGGTGGCATTGCCATTGCAAGCATCAACTGCTCAACTGACCAATATCTTAATCAAAATGTGATGAATAGTCAAATCCCTTATTTAATCTTTTTAAAATACAAACTTTTGTGTTAATTGGTTTATTACTAGCACATTGTAAGATTAATGCTATCCTAGAACACGTGAAGCCAACCTTTGGAAAATTTTACGATGAGTATGCATCTTTCGTGAAAATGGTATTTAGTATTTTTTGGCTTTTTCATTGAAACTTTGTTTATTGTGCAGAGCAATGTAGCTCAGGGAAGGTAAACACAAATGATTCAGTGGGTGTAGATCATACCAGTCCTACAAAGCCCCTGAAGAAGGGCAGAAAAATAAAGTTGATAAGTAATGGAAGTATCCTATTGACTATTGTTTATGAGGCAGCCTGTTTGTTCTTGTTTACTGCTTACCTGCTGCTATTTGTGTTCCACATGGAATACTCACATTAAAATTTCTTTTTGTTAATTGGACTCTAAATGTTTGTGGATCTTCGAATGTTTGCTGCCTTGACATCTGATATAGATCAAAAAGTGCACATAAAAGTGAAAGCAAGATCTCAACCTGAAAGCAAGAACGTTGCCAATAGTTTCGAGTTGGACAATGGGCATGCCACTAAAGTACAACCTATAGATTCCACAGGTGATCAAAGTTTGTGCTGCTTTCTGTCTAAATATTGTTATCAATCTGGTGTTTGAAGGGCGGGCCTGGTGCAAGCGGTAGTCTTACCGCCTGTGACCGGAAGGTCCCAGGTTCGAGTCACGGTCTCCTCGCATTGCACAGGCGAGGGTAAGGCTTGCCACTGACACCCTTCCCCAGACCCCGCACATAGCGGGAGCTCTCTGCACTGGGTACGCCCTTTTTAATCTGGTGTCATTTAATCCTTCTTTCTTGCTGACTTTCTCTAGGTTATTTGACCTGTGTATCTAGTGTTTACACGATATTCATTTGCATGTAAAGATAAAGACCAATGTCATATTTCCAGGGATAATACATAGGAAACTAATGCATTGAGGATATGTTTCAGCTGATAACAGTATATCTTACTATTGGGTTTTATTTTGTTATGGTAGTTTTTATTTACATGCTTCTTTGGTTTTATTTACTCTCAAAATCTGTTGATAGTTCAGCTACTATCAATGTGCCTAAAAATCACCTCAGAGGTATTGATTGCTTCTCTGGTGTCCTCTGCTTCCTCATAGAGATTGTCAAGATGCATGTTATTTATTATCCCGTGCTTGTGTTTTTCCATGGTCGGACAAAGTAGGCATGTTATGGTCTGCTTCCTCCTTTCTTGAATTAAAGCTAAGCTAAGCAATTTTTAGAGGTACAGATAGACAATGTTCTAATCATTTTAGTGACATGGGCTCCAATATCAGCCTATCCAACAAACTTTGTTTTTTTTTTTTCTTTCCACCTAATTTATTTATTTACTTTTTGTGTGTGTGTGTGTGTGGGGGGGGGTTCTTTAAATATCATGTCCACTTACAAGTTTTTTTTGTTTGGCTCAATTGAACTTGAAGTGAAAGGGTATTTTGAAATGTTTTCTTTAAGTGAGGATTAAAGGTTCTCTGATATATTGCATGCTCAGTAACAAGAAAAAAGAACAAAATAAATGGTGTTCTTAGAAAATTGTTTGTTTTTGCTTACTGAGTCAAGGGTTAATTTTTACACCTAGTTTGACTGTGATGAAACCTTTCCTGCATATTTCTAGTATTCCATACCAGTTGATGGGAGTAATGTCAGTAACCATAGAATGTGAAGGGAGGAGCTTTTCCCAGAAAATTACTTTTCCCTATCCAATTAAGATTTAATGTTTAAAGTCGGTCCATAATGAGACCTTCATTGCATAGCTATGCAGCATTAATCAGGAGGCTTACCTTCACTCCTTGAGTGTTCTCCTTTTTCTACCTGAGATTCTAATTTGGATGTTCATCCAATTTCCCAAATGTTGCATTCACTTGAATAATATATCTTGTTCAAACCTCTGACCATATAGTGTTTTGATTTTCTCATCTAATTTATTTCAGATGCGCCAGTTCCTCTTGCAACAAAAATGTATCATTCACAGGGCAACTACCGTCTTCGAATGGAGCTTGGCCAGCTTTATCGCGAATCATGTGTGCAGCATTTGAGCGGCCACACAACTCCAAACGTGTCACATGAGAATGGATTGATGGCGTCACGGTTTTCTCCATGCGGCAACTCAGCATTACCTGCTTCTCAGAAGAGCCTTGTTCCTCAAACAAAGGTTTGATGCCACCCTCTGAGCACTGGCAGGATAGTTTTTCATGTTCTCTTACCAATGATGCATTCTGCTATGGTGCTTCTCATCAGCCTCTTGTGAGCACATCTGAGTCGTGCTCAGGAATCCCTCAGCAATTAGCAGCAAGCGGGCCTAACCATTCACAAGGAATCAAAACTGAGAGAGCAAGTACACAAGCATCTGCAATTAAAAATGAAGGTTCACGATCCAGAGGCAATAAAGCTACTGTTCCCCACTCGAGAAACAAAGGTTGGAAATGATCTTTTAAATCTTCTGCTAAATGTAGTATGTGACTTCATTGATTAAAAATTGTTAAGTGATTATTCAGTTGTGTTTGTTATCTCTAACTGGGGCAGGGCACTTAATTAAAGGTAAAGAATATCCCAGTGAAACTATATTAGCTATATATCAACTGAAAGTTCAGAATACAGCTCTATGAGAAGAAAATTTACAGCTCACACTTTGGTTCTGTTCTAAGCTAAGTATATTATAGTTTTCAGCTCTTCAAGAGTCAGATTTACCCTGTAGTTACATGGCTTTAGGCCTGCAAAACTGTTAGCTCATCTTTTTTAGTTTACTGAAAGGCTCCTGCACCACTCTGATGCCTGGAAACCTTGTAATGTAAAAAGGATGTATTGGATTATTACCTTGCTAGTAACTATATATGCCATTTACCCCTAAAAAAAACTATATATGCCATTTGTTCTCTAGGCAGCAAGAAGACGCAGCAGCAACCTAATGGACGTGTTCATGTGATCAAGTCCTCAGTAGAGTAGCCCATTGATAGGTATGTGTCCCCTATTGGCTTTACTCACTTGAACTTAAATCCAGGCGAACATTTCACCGCTCGACACAGTGATCTTACGCCGATTGGTTTCTCAGGTAATTTATTCGTCAAGTGGAAGTGTCTCCACTGGTGAACAGTCTCTTCTTTTCTCCTTTCCTAATGAAATTGGTTATTGTCAGGATGGTTCTGATTTGGACCGTCCCGATTCGAGGTTGTTTTGGTAAGTCAGGATATCTGAAATTCACAGCAATATATGTTATACCATCGCACGTAGCTAAGCTCTTAGTTAACATGGTTTCATCTGTTTTCGGTCAGGTTCGTCGGTCGGCTATTGGTACAAGAAGCTAACAGCACTAGTTGTAGCACTGATGATGAAGTTACCTGTAAATACGGCCGCAAAGGCCTTCGCTTCTTCCTGCCCCCTCCTGCTGCGGAAAGTTGTGAACCTAATGAACATTTTGAATATGCCCCTCATCTTTTGGGCATCGAGTTTTAGTTGACTCTCTCATGTTTGTGTTTGATTCTTGCCCTAAGCTTAGCTTTCTTTCCGGTAATTGAACCCTCGGCTATGGCTGCCGGTGGATGAGGCTTTTGTTTGGGGGTATTCCGAAAACTCACCTTGCCGGAAAGCTTGTCTCTGTTGTTGGGTGTTGCGGCCGTGGATGTGGTTGTTGTCCAGGTTGAGGGCGATTGCGCGGCAGAGTGATTTCAGCTTCGCTCCTGTGAAGTCTGCTCCGGAGCCATGGCACTGAGACAGTTTAGATTCTAAATTTTTTCACTCTCTCTCCATCATATCAAATCTTTGGACACATGCATAGAGTATTGATTGTAGATAAAAAAAATAACTAATTACACAGTTTGATTGTAAATTACGATACGAATCTTTTGAGTCTAGTTAGACCATGATTGGACAATAATTATCAAATACAAACGAAAGTGGCTACGGTGTTGAATACTGATTCCTAACCGTGAACTAAACAAGGCCTAATTTTTTGGGGGGCAATGTTTTGCTGTCCTTTCACCCTTTGGTGGCACAAATGCTCAACGGTATCAGCTAGAGTTAGGGCCTGTTTAGATTCAAAAATTTTTTGTCCCATCTCATTATCAAATGCTAGAGTTAGACCTAATTAAATTAGATACTAATTATCAAATACAAACGAAATGCTACAGTGAGTCAAAATCCAAAAAATTTTGGATGCCTTAAAAAATCGCGAGTTCTATCAAATCTGCCCTTTTTTTTTAGAATCCTCTAGCACCAAACGACGAGGGCGTGTTTGGTTCGTTACCCAACCACGCCATAGTCTGCCACACAACTGACGCTGCAGATTTGTTGAGCGTTTGATTCGTTGCCGTAGTTAAGGCGCGTCGCATCTCGCCAACGTCCATACAAGTCATTTTCGACGCCAAACTTCGTCAACTATCTGGTGAGCGATTCGTTTGCCGAACATTTGGCGTGCCTGCGACCTCGGCGCGGTATCTGTAGGCGCTGTCCAAACAGACACTTACAAATGGTATTCGTTAGATCAGTCATACTCTACTCACCATAGCTTGTAGCAGCCGGGCCTATTCTTCTAACCATGACATTTTGAAGTTCCATGCTCATATAACAACATGAAGCATCGCATTTCGTTAAATGCAAATAAAGATGCCAAAAGGTATGAAAAGAAGAACATCTCCATCATAGGCCAAAGCTGGCGAGTTTGCGACATGAAAACAGGGCCTCTTGTTCGTCGATCGAATCAGAGTTGTTGCTGCGAGACAATGTTCATATGGCCGCTTCAAAATATCATCAATCCGCAGATTGAAACTACCGAATCGGAAATGTCTGCCTTGACGCTGTTATTACAGCACTAGCCATTTCACCTATCTAGCTAATTTCGTACTAAACAACTGAGGAGACCATCGAATGAGAGGTGCAATCGCCGCGAGGCAGAAAGTCCATCATCCATGGATCAGCATCAGTAGATGGCGGCGATGTCGGCCCTGATCATCTCCAGGACCTCGGGCGGCGCGGCGGCGGCGGTGACCGTGAGCACGGCGGCGCCGGCGCCGTGGCCGTGGCGCCCCACCGTGGCCACCAGGACCTCGACCCCACGGCGGTGGAACGCCTCCAGCGCCCGCGCCAGCGCGCCGGGGCTCCGCGCCGGCAGCCGCGCGCAGAAGCACACCGCGCCGACGGCCACGGACACCTCGGGCTGCCGCCCGGCACCAGAGGCGGCGCCGGCGCCGACGGGGCCGCGCACCGCGCGATACGTCTCCAGCACGGCCGCCGTGTCCTCCAGCATCTTCACCCGCGCCGCCGCCGCCTCCACGATCTCCTCCTTGCTCGCCGGCTGCGCGCGCGCCGTCGACGATTGCCAGGAAACGACGTCGGTCAAACAAAACGCCCAGGCGGTGATTAAACAAAAAAGAGCTCATCTTGCGGCTCGACGCGCCGGCGCCGGCGTAGCCAAGAAGCAGGGTCGTCGAGGGCAGGGGACGGACTCACCCGGTCGGTGGGGAGGTTGGGGAGCATCGCGCCCAGCTCAGCGTAGAGGGAGGACACGGTGCGCCGGTTCGGCCGCGCCCTCGGCCGCTGCTCGCCAGCCGACGCCGACGGCCCCGCGGTGGCCAGGGACAGGTCCCCCGCGGTGGCCAGGGACAGGTCGAGCGGAAGCCATCCTCCTCCTTGTCCATCCATGGCGGAACGACGGGTGGGTGTCTGTACGTGCGTCTCCTCCCCTCCCCCTCCTCTGGCGCGCGCTGCGGCCTGCGGGGTTTTCTGCTTGTGCAAGAGAGGGAGCGCGTCGGTTTGATCTTGTCTCGAGTCTTGAGGAGAAGAGAAGTGGAGAAAAGAAGCGGGGCCTTGTTCAGATCACCTTCAAATTCCTAAATTTTTTCAATTTTTTTTCATCACATCAATTTTTGAATGCATGTATAGAGCATTAAATATAGATAAAAAAATAACTAATTACACAGAGGAGAAATCACGAGAATCTTTTGAGGTTAGTCCAATCAAATAAAGTTTGTCAAATCAAGCGGGTCCCAGGGTCGTGGTGCAATCTATCCGAGGCCCCGGGTCGTGGTGGTGGCGTGACATGGCGGCCATGCCAGTGTCAGGTGTGCAGTGGCCACGTGACCAAAGTGCTGCAGCGGGCTTTGGGGGTGGTGGTGGTTAGCCAGGAATGGAAGCTGCAGCTGGGCTGTTGGGAGGCAGCTGCAGAGGGGGGAGACCGGACGGACGAGCCGCCTGCTTTGGGAAGCTGGTCAAGCGCGCCGCTCCGGTAGGTCTTCACAACGGGACAAAACCATCTATGCAAAGGCTGCTTTCCACCTTGTCTTATTATTACAGAGATTAGTAGGAGGCCTAACGTTACACACTGTTGCATTCTGTGAAATCGTGGGCATACAAATTCGTGTCAAGGCTTGGACCCTTAGAGGACACAGAGATGTCCTTACATAAGTATTTACGGATTTCAAATGGGAAAGGAGGCCAGAGAAGAATTGGCGCATTTGAAATCGGGCAAGAATGAGACTGTCTTGACGTAAGTTCGCTCTAGCATATATGTTAGCATCCAGTGATTGATCTTTGGTGGTTTTGGTGAAGATGTGTAACCAGAGACAAAAGGATTTCTTTTTTGAGCTGAGCTTTGTCAGGATAAGGAAGTGAAGCATTTTTTTTTTTTTTTGCTTCCGTTCCATGAGCGGCTTCACCAATGAAGATAAAACTGTTTAAAAAAACGTTTGATAAAACATCTTCTGCTGAAAGAGATTAGTATTTTGAGCTTCACCGGGCTTCTTGTACATGTGAGAAAAGCTAAACAGCATCTTTTAGGGAGAAGTTGTTTCAAAAAGATTGTTTAGTAGGAGAAGCTGAAAAATAGCTTTTACGAAGCTGTTCCATAAGCTGTACCAAATATGTCCTAAGATAGCGTTTGGTTGGAAGTCAAGGTGAAATGGGATGATCCTGTCTCTGCTTTGTGGAACGGGACAACTCCATTTTGCATTTGGTTGAAGAGGGATAGGAGAGGGATGGGGCGAACCATGAGCTGAGCTATGTGCTGCTGACATGGAAAGTAGAAGCTGCCTTTGCCTATTATTATATTTTAATATTTTAGCATCTCGAAAGGTTCTTTTTTTTCAAACCACATCTCCGGCGGTTATTTTTCCGAATCATAGTGTAGATATAAACTATATATACGCATACTCACTCTTATGAATATATACACACCATACTCTTTAGAACACCTCCGAAAACATTGAGGTGACAAATCTCAAAATTAATTTCGTAGATGCCTCGTTGTTTATGAGAATGTCGTCTATCATTACAAGAACAACATTGTCAAATCCTTGATGAAGTCATCGTAAACGTCTTGCTGTCGAAGGGCACATTAGAATAATACCATTAAATCCCAATAATAAATCCAAGAAAATGCAAATACTATAGGATCCTCTTTACTTAAAAATAAACTACCAAATTGGAGTTAAGGTTTCTTCTTCTTACTTTTAACATATGCTTATTTCCATCATTTTAATGTTGATCACCAATATATGCCCTAACCCCTCCACCCCCGAAATAGAGGAAAAGATGGACCTTACCCTAGTGCCTCTCATTCACCCAACTAACATATTGGTGATCTGTTTTCTTTAATAAATCTGAAAAATAATATTGGTGCGCCCTGCAGGTACAACTTTATTGGAAGAGTTGCATTGATGATTTGTCGGAAATGCTATTAGGAGTGTTTTTTATTGTTTTTTGCTAGGTGGAAAGTAGAAGCTGACCTTTTAGTGTAACCGATTGAAAAACTGTTTTTTTAGTTTGAGGGACAATGTCCTGGTCCATATGCATCAAAACAGGATATTAGGTCAATCTCAGTAAAGAGTTTTATAGCGTTGTTTCTAAGACTACCATATCATATAGAATGGAAACATGGATGAAACACCTGCTTAATGGAAAGTTTCATTATATTAGGAGTGGTTTTTATTGTTTTTTTGCTAGGTGGAAAGTAGAAGCTGACCTTTCAGTCATCAAAAACTCTTACTCCCTTGAAAATAGGTGTTTTTTTAGTTTGAGGAGTCAATGCCCTTTCAAGTCCATATGCAATATATATAAGAAAGTTTAATATTTATAATAATTTCTAAGACTACCATACCATAGATCATGGAAACATTTTCATAAAAAACTTATTTGAAAATGGAAAGTTTCATTATATTTCTAAAGGTTACATAGACATTTAAAAAAACTTTTTGATGATGCATCCCATAAAACTAGGATGGAGAGAGAGTATACGGCAGCTTATTATGTATAAGCAAAACTTTGTCACATCATCAAAAATCCTCTAGATAGGTGTCGTTGCTTGCTTTAACGAGAGTCAAACGCCCCTCAAGTTTTTTTTCAAATATATATAAGAAAATATTAATATTTATAATAATTCATAATTAGTATCGTTAGATAGATCATTGAATCTATTTTCATAATAAACTTATTTGAAAATACAAATGTTGCTAATATTTTTCTAAAGCTAGTCAAACTTACCCATCATAAAAAACGCTCCGGCTGCGCCCCTGCTCCCTCTGGTGCGCGCCCTTGACCGGTATCTCTCTCATTCTTCGTTTCTCTACTTTTGCGTCCGCCATGGTTGGGGAGAGCAGAGGTCCGAGTTGCCACGCCACTACACTTCTTGTGCCTCGCTGCGCCTCCTCGCCGCCGCCGGGGTCTAATCGCTTGCCACCGCGGCTGGCTGGCCGGCCAAGCTAGCAGCAGTCGCGCAGGTGAGCAGGCGTCGGCCACCGCGTGTGCCCAGGCGGCCAGGAGAGGGGGCTGTCGCTGTCCGGGCCTAGGCCAAGCGCAGGCACAGCTAGCCGCGCCCCCATCCTCGGCCGCCGGCTGGCCGGAACTAGCCATTCCCCCGCTCTGCGCTGCGTCGTACGGAAGAAGAAGAAGGGTGAAAAACACATGTTTCAAGCGTATATTTCAAGTGTTTCATAGATATGGTGGAAGTGTTTTATATGGATGTTGTAAAAGTAAATCGGGATGTTGTATATGGTGCAATGGTTGCACACGTATGTTGCAACCTTCTTTTCCAATGTTTCATCTGTTTTTACAAGTACGTGGTATGTTTCACACATATGTTGCAAGTGTTTTATATGGATGTTGCATATGTTTACAATGGTTACAAGTTTTTTCAGGTGTTTTTGCAAGTGTTTTAGACGTATGTTTCAAGTGTTTTATTTGTCTTCAGATGTACGTTGCAAGTGTTGTATCTGGATGATTCAAAAGTAGATAGGGCGTTGCATCTCCCTCCTCGCCTTCTACTACCTCGCCTCAATGTCTCTTCGTCCTCCCGGCGCCTGGCTGGGCATCTGATACGACGCCACGGCCGGGGCACACCACGGGTCCTTCCGAACCAGAGGCACAGGCGGGCGCCACCCCCCTCCTCCACTTCTCGATGCTGGTGACGTTGGGCGATCGCGGGCCTCCACATGGAGCACGCGAAACGGAGTGCAGGCACATATGTGCGGCGGACGTCCATACGGACCGGACGTTCCGGGCGCTAGCACTGCTGAACCAGGAATCACCGGCAGCGGCACCTCCGGCTCCGGACCGCTTGGATTGTGGGACGTGTGGTGGTTCAATGGGCTTCACTGGACCCAAGGGAAATTGGTAAATATGGGCCAGAAACACACTGCAGCCCAACTGACTAGCAGGTCTGTAAGGAAACAAGAAGCGACGCAGATGCGGCCATGCCTGATGCCTGTCGCAGTGTGCTCTCGCACTCGACTCGACGCTCCCTCGCCTCCGTTTCGTAGCCTCGTAGGGATGGGATGGGCCGACCGGGGTCCTGCCTTTAGATCCGGTCCTGTCCTGTCACTGTGATCTCAAGGTTAATTTTAGGGATCATGTATGGATCGATTTATTTCACCTAAAATCATAATTTTATTAGTTCCATAGATAGTGTGAGTTGACCTAAATATTTTTCTACTATCATTGGACATGAATATATACTATCAATACTTATAGAAAAGATGACATACAAGTTTGAAAAATATTGTGGCAACACATTAAGATTGTTAGCAATGCATCAAATTAAATAAGTCTGTAAGTGAGCTATGATGTATGGGACATTAGCAATGCTTATGCAGTAACACATTAAGGGCCTGTTTAGTTCCCAAATTTTTTTGCGCAGTATCCATCATATCGAATCTTGCGGCACATGTATGTAGTACTAAATATAGACAAAAAAAAACTAATTGCATAGTTGGGTGAGAAATCGCGAGACGAAAATTTTAAACCTAATTAGTCCATAATTAGACACTAATTACCAAATACAAACGAAAGTGCTACAATAGCCAAAACCTAAAAATTTTTGTATCTAAACGCACCCTAAGATTGTTAGCAAGGCATTGAATGGTTCCTCTGCCCTTCACCCCACCGCCCACAACCGAGTGTTGTCACCCCCTCACCCCTTTGTTTCGCCGCCGCTAGCTCATGTAGGTGCCAGGAAGGTAGCGGCGGGGCTATCTTGTCTCCATCTGGACCATTGTGCCCGGATCTGGGTTGCAAGGTCGTCGCGCCCAGGCGTGATCATGCATGTCGGCTTTGATCTCTTTGCTAGTTTGTCCAAAAACTATATTTCATTATATAAGCGCGATATCCTTTGCCACTCTTCACTGCAAACTTTGCTTCCAGCAGATTCGCGC